CTGCCAGCAGGCACAATCTAGCAAGTCGGCTCCTCCCCCTTCAGCCTATCGGCACTGTAATGCGCTCTGCTGTACTTAAAAACACCCAGTGACACCTCCAAGAAAGGAAGGCGAGGCTGCAAATTTAAAGTTGTTTCAGGCACCCAGAGGTACCCATTATTCTCCGTCAAGATGCTCGTGATCCCAAACCCAGAGGTGTGCCTGCTGGCTTCAGTCACCTGCTGATACTAAAGACACAACTCAGACGAGGCCTCCCTCATCAGGCACCGGAGACTTGAAAATCCCTAACTTCCCTTCTCATACAGAGAGCCATTAAAGAGACCACAGATGGAGGCACGAGGGGCAACAGGCATGGGGGCAGCAGTAACAGCCACATAAAAATAACGTTTCTAGGTACTTCTGCCTGGGTCTCGATCAAAACGAAAACTCAGCTGCCATGAATTACAGCCTAACCCTCCAGAAAGCAGCAACCAAACCACGCTGGGACTGCGGGGAACATTCTGGTGCTGCTGAAACCCCGGGCAGCAAAAAAATAAATAAAACAGCATTCTGCGATGGATATTCATGAAGCACGCATCCTAATTTAAAAGGGAACAAGCCTAGAGTTCTTACTGCATTAATTCATAGGAGCCTGAAAGAACATTTTTATCCAAACTGTTAGATTTCCTACCAAGGCGTTAACAGTCTCCAAGGCTGCTCAGATACACTGACTCTGAGAGTGCAGTTTGGCTTCACAGTGAGACTTGCCTTTCAGTCAACGGAGAACATCAGAGGCCTCTCCTGCGCTTTCCTAGCAGGGCAGACATGGCCTCTTGAACCTTTCTGGCAACGTTAAAAAACCAAGTTATTGAGCTCCTACTTCGTACTGTATGCTAAGTAAGCTCTTCACCTGCTCACGGGATCTTCAGACAACCTGTAAGGGAGGGACCGCGACCGCCCCTGTCCCACGGGTGAGGAGGGTGCAGACTCACACTGGGAGTCTCTCCCGCAGTCCCCGACCGAGACGGGCCGAGTCAGGGATTGAGCCTAGCTTTGTCCGTTTCCAGAGCCAGAGTTCTTAAATCCTGTAAGAGTGAGATTTTAATTCAGGCACAATGGTGAGATGCAGGGTTTTTACTGGAGCCAGACTTGCACTGATCAACTCTGAGTGGAAAGGAGTTTTTACTTAAGGGCGTGTCAATGCACCGACACAGTGATAACGGAGGGGGTGCGACCTGCTGTACTTTGAGCAGTGTGTACCCATTTATCTGCATAATATCCACTCTTTTGACTTCTGTCTATGAAGGGGCAAATGGATGTTTCAAATTCCAATCACGAATTAGAAAGATGCGTTTCAAGGAAAAGAATGAATGAGCTTTCTTAAGGCAAAGAACTCAAAAATGGCAAGGAGCAGCATCCTGTATCTGCTTGCTGCTGCTGTCGCAGGGGCCCTGGACCTGGAAGACACTTCAAGTCCCGCCTGTTAGAACAAAAGGATTAGAAAAGTGCACCTTGAATTATTCTTCCACGAGGTTTTCCATGCCCTCAATACCAACCAGAAAGATAACGATTAGAAATTAAATTGCGCCAAGTTAATGATCTTCACTAAACTAAATTCAACACTTTGTCAGTTATAAAACATGAACACAAGAAGTCTGAAACACATTAAGCAGAATTTACACAAAAGTAACATGAAAATGAATGGGAATGAGACATAATGATGGCATTCTGGATTCATGACTGACGTTTTTAACGAGTGCTTAAGCCGAAAGGTAGAAGCAGGATCTGGGGACGCGCAGAAACCCGCAGCTCAGCAGATACACGGAGGCTCAGCGGTCTATCATTCCCCCGCCCTGATACATATACACCTAATATTAATAATGACGATAATTAAAAATGTACCAAGCAGTTGCTAGGTGCTGAAAATCCAGACCGAGTGAGTTTCTGCCCTTTGCGCTACGGGAGGTTTCTGTCCTCCCTGAGCTCACCTCAGCACACCTGTGTCACCGTTTGACAGGTGTGCCGCCCCAGTCAAACTCCCCACCTGGCACTGTCCCCAGAGTGAGTTGGTTTTCATATATATATATTTTTTTTCATTTTAAAGCTCACCGTAACCCCATGAAGTAGACTTTATCCCCACACCACAGATGAGAAAACAGAGGCTCAGAGACACGACATAAACTGCCCAAGTTCACAGAGCTGGTCAGTAGCCTTGCTGGGATTCAAACCCAGGCCCGATTCCGAAGCTGTGGCAAAAGCTGATGATCTTTCTTTCCCCACAGCCTACAGACAAAGAAGTCCATGTTTTTATCTTTCCCCACCATGAAGAGTAAACATTTTAATGTTTCAAAACTTTGTTTTATGTTATCAGTGCCCTAAGGATGAAAATTGAAAACATCCACCTTGAATGGTCGCATTAGAGATAAGTAACACAGGACAGAAAAGAGCTGGTAACAGGATGTCCTTTAAAAAAAGGAGTGGGGCAATTTAAAAAAAAAAAAGTGTATCAGCAAAAATCAAGAACTATTCTGGTGCCCATCAGAAGAGTCCGGCTATAGTATCGGACACTACAAGGGCACCGAGAGATGCGTTAGGACACAGCGCCCTCCCAAAACTCCCAGCCCACTCAGGAAAAGAACAAGTTCTAATGAGCAAGGAACAAGTGCTGAATCCTGTGCTTCAGGCTCCGAGCGCCACAAAGGCATGGGGGTAGGGCGGGCAGGGAACACCCTCCGGAGGAAGTGTGTCTTCGGCAGGGGCTTGAAGGAAGTGAAATGGAGAATTTACACAGAGGAGAAGGAAAGGAGGCCAGCACTTCAGAAGGGGAAACAGCGGGAGCAAGGCCCAAGAGCAGCGGTTCTCAACCTTTTCTGTCTCACGGCACACGTACACTAATCACCAAGATTCTGCAGCACACCCAGAAATACATTTTTTTTTGCCGATCTGACAAGAAAAAAAAAAGGTATAATTCTGATTCATTCACACCCTCTGGCTATTGTTATGTTGGCGGTTGTCATTTTTTTATTTGGCAACCTGGAGGAAAAGAGGTCACTGCCCCTGACTCAACGGTCAGGTACTGCACGTTTGAAACATTCCTGTGGTGCCCCAGTGCGCCTCTTGCGGCACACGGGCTGAAAAATCGCTGCCCTAGAGACAGTCATAAACTCACTCCCCAAGGGAACAGGCTCCCGGAGGGAGAAGCAGGGAATACGGTTCAGGCAGGGGAGGGGGGGCCCACGGAGGAAAGACAGGGCGGACAATGACTGGACACACCGTGGCAGGCAAGGGGCCACTACTCAGGCTGGAAGGGCGGTCGGTATACATGCCGGGGCCTCTGGGCCGATCACCTGGCCCCTAAGCTCTCCCTCCCTCTACCAGTTACCAGGAACCACCTCGAGTGGGCTGCCGCACCACTGCCTTTAGAATAGTTTCATCCTTGGCCTAGTGTTCAAGTTCCTTCAGGAACTAGCCCAACCAATCCTTCGTCCTGCTCCTTTCCTATATGAACTCTTCTTCTCTGCCAGGAGGCTGGTCTATTCACGAACTCCGTGAGATCACCGGACCTGATTCCTGTTTTCCTATCTGAGTCCTACTCACCCTTTAACAGCCAGATCAAACCCCACTCCCTCTTTAAGCCTTCCCTGACTCCCTGGCCTGTAACGACCTCCATCTCTCCTTCCCCTTAATGCTACAGCACACAGCCCTGCCTAGTGAATTACCTTTCTACAGGTAAAGTCTCAGCACCCAGTGTAAAGGCGCTCAGAGGCTGTGTCTTCTTTTACTGTCCCCCACCACAGAGAACAGCACCTTGACATTTAATAAGCAGGCAAACACTCAACTCTTTTCTTGACTTCCTATATTAAGTTTGGCATTAGCATAAAGAAAAGAGGGGGTGGGGGACCTTCTGAAGTCAGAGACCAGCTAAGAAGTTGTTGCAATAATCCAGATGTGAAGCAAAGAGAGCCTGGACTAGGGAACAAAGAGAAAATGGGCAAATATAAACAACAAAAAAATTTTTTGCATGCAAAAAACTCAGAGAGATGTGACTAACTACTACTAGGAACAAAAGCAAGCCATGAATTATGATTGAGGTAAGGTTTAGAAACGCTTCTTGGAATCATTTTAAAGCCTGTCTGAAACCTAGTGTATTAAGTGGCCAAAAAGTCCCTATTTGCAAAAAGTCTTCAGTGAAACTGCCCAATATCTTGAACCTGGGACAGCCCTTCCAATTGCAGACATATACAGAATAACAGAGTTGGGAAGGACTTCGGAGAGCTAATCTAAAACCCTCACTCACCAGATGGGGAAACTGAGGCTCAGCTTGGAAGAGGCTTGCTGAAAACCTCAAGACTGAGACTCTCGACTATTGCCACCCTAAAGCACAGCCGCCAAAGCACAGAAGAGCGCTTTACACCTCGAGTCCAGCCCCAGCCCAGCCCTCCGTAATGGCAGGACCGTCTGAGGGCTTGGGTGACCATGAAGACGTCTAGGGCCAAGCACGACGCGCCGCCTCCTGTTTACCTGGAGAAAGGCGGTGGCGTAGGGCAGGGACTTCGTTGCAGCCACCAGCAGAGCCAACCCGCCGCCCGGCCCGGCTATCCAGGGGTTTCATTAATCCGGCCTCCTCGTACAAAGGGGTAGCGCGCCCGAGGGCGAAGGGCCCGGAAGCAGGGGATCCCCAGACGCCCAGGGCGGCGGCGGCTGGAGAGCCCGGGGCAGCTGGCCGAGCGCGACCCTCTGGCCCGCCAGTGGCGCCCGGACACCCGGCCGCGCACTGTTGGCCCCTCGGGGGCGCGTGTCCGGCCCAAGCAGGTGCCCCGGGCCTCCCGACCCCGCCCGGCCTCTGCTCCAGCCCGCGCCGCCCGCCCACCCGCCGGCCGGCCGGTCGGACTGACCAGGCGCAAATGCTCCCGCCCCGCCGCGCCCACAGGGAGCCGGACAGCGGCCGAGGACTGTTCCTCGCCCTCCAGCTATGCCCGAGCCTCGCCCGCCGCCCGCTGTTTCCGGCCGGTGCGCCTCACCTGCCGAGAGCGCCGCGCTCACATCGCCCGCCCGCGGCGCTCCCTCCGCCGCCGCCGGCGCCAGGCCCGTCCCCGCCGCTCCGGCAGCCGCCCCAGCCCGCGCCCCCCGCCCCCGGAAGCGCTTCTCGGCCCCGCCCCCTCGGTGCCAGCGCTTCCGGGCAGGATCGGACCGAGAAGGCGGTGCAATGGTGGGGACCTCTCTCCGAGGCTCCGGGTTCCGGATTCCGCTTCTAGCACGTCCCGGAGCCTCGCCGCGGACGATTGGGAGAGCGGCAGCCTTCGTCCTGACTCCAGAAGAGAGCGGCGGGGGCTCTGCTCTCCAAGCTCCTTGCCCGCGGTCTCCTGGGCGCCCCCTGCTGGCGGGAGGAGGGCAGCAGCGTAGTGGAACTCTCCGGGGCTCCCAGAGGGGAATGGGTGGGAGGCCACGACCTTCCACAAACCATCACCAGGGCCCAGGGCCCACCGCGCTCAGCTCTCCCCTTCGGAGATCCTGGTTCCCACAGCTTTTCCGGTACCTGCTGCTCATCTGAGCTGCACCTGGTGGAGCAGTCAAAGGCAGTAAGGTGCCACTGGGCGAAGAACAGTTCAAAGTGATGGGGAACTCAAGAGTGGGAAAATTTTAGTTTAAGGAAATAGTTAATAAGCTTAGTATTTAATGCATGTGAAAAGCTGTTGTTTCAAAACTGAAGAAGGCATGGCCCACCCTGACTCCAGGTGAACATAGCGATTGACCTTTGTGCTCCGCAAGAGACCATAAGCAAGCTAGGTGGTATCTGAGCCATTCATTGTGTTCCAGGAAGAGACAGATGACCTACCAACCGACCTACCGACCACCTGAGGCACGGCTGTCCACCCAGGGCGGATGCTCTAGTTGTTGTTGTTGTTGTTGTTGTTTTAAATCTGATTTTCTCTGAATTCCAAACCCCTCACCACACTTTGCTCTCTATTATAAAAAGGCTGGCTTGAAAGGAAGTGTAGGACGGTCTGTTAAGGTACAAACCCACCATCTTCTCAGATCTCCAGCCATCTAAATAAAGCACCCATAAAGATTCAATCTCTGTCTCTGCGTATTGGGTCTGGTAGGTGACCGGCAGCACGAACACTGGCTTTTCCTGTTTCATGTTCTGGCGACTCTGTTCCGGGACTGATTTTGGGACTCTACGTTAAGTTTGGGTATTGGCAGGTCATCCTGATTGCTGCCTGGACTGGGGGGCCCCGGGATCTGGATTTGGAGGCTCCCTAGCCGCTGCCAAGTGATTTCACTTGGGCACGCTCCTCGGCACCTCCCTTGCTTTTCTCATTTGATTGGATCGTGGCACTTTCTGGTTCAGGTTACAATCCTGGGCTCGACTTAGGTCATCAGTAATTTAAGGTGCCTTCTGGTTTACAAAGATGTGTCTGGTAAAAAGACGTCTTCTGGTTTAATTAAGGTGCCATCTGGTTTACAGGGCTCTCTGTGGTAGAATGCGGGGCACAGGGGAATCCTCCATTCTGGAAAACAGCCCTTTGGGGTGAGTTTTGGCTAATTGGTTGACCTATGCCTATAAACCAATGACTAAAAGGAAAACGGCTTTTTACTGTAACACTGTTGGGCGTATGTATAATCTGGACTCAGGAGAGCGCTGGTCGCTGAATGGGCCTTGAAATTACCACACTGTACTGCAATTAAAGTTGTTTTGTCAAAGATCAGGGAAGTTGGATGAAATGCCTCACATAGAAGCTTTTATGAGTTTACATAATAAAGATGCAGAATTAAAAGGTAACAAGTTAATGGTCCAGGGAAAAGGGAATTTGCCCGAGAAAGATAGCAGAAGCTCAGAAGAGAGGGCCCAGGGAGATCTATATATTATGGGTGCTGGGAGCATGGTCAGGGTTCCCACGGCCCTTTCAGCCCTGGGGGATCTTCCTCCTTACTCGGCTGAGAACTGGGGAAAGGGAGCCTGAACTGGCATCGCTGTCTCGAACCCTCTAGGAACCAAATTCAATGAAGAACAGGCCCCTACCAGGGCAGGGCAATGTCCTTTACAGAGACTTCCAGTGGGAGCAGAGCCAGAGGCCCAGCCTGCTGGATACTATTGGGCACATACTCCATTTTCTCCCTCAGATCTGTTAAAGCTCAAACCCTTCTTACAGGAATGATCCAACTAAAACGACTGATTTGGTTGCATCAGTTTCTGCCACCGATCACCCCAATTGGGCAGACATATAAGCCTTCTTAAATATTTTGTTTACATGGGATGAGTGGAGGCTGGCGTTGGATAAGATAAATGAAGAGGCTCGGAGGGTGCACCAGGAACATCCAGGTGGGGCTCTCAACCCCACTAAGGCAATTCCTTTAACCGAGCCCAAGTGGGACCCTAGTGGGAATGACCTTCCTTTCTTAGAGCATTGTAAGAGGTGCATCCTTGAGGGAATGAGGAAAGGCGTCCCTAAGCAGAAGAGTCTGAATATGGTGCAGGTGGTGCAACTAAAAGTCCACAGAGGACCCTTCTGAGTTTCTTGAAGGGTCTATCAGGCCTATAGAAAAGGTGCTGATTTGGATCCACAAGCCCCTGAAAATGTTGGAATGATGAATATGACCTTTATCTCCCAAAGTGCACCTGACATCGGAAAAAAAACTTCAGAAGTTAGAGGGAGGAATAGGCATGAAACCTTCCCAATTAGTAGACATTGCCTTCAAAGTTTAAAGCAACAGGGAGCAGAAGAAGGCCCAAGCGCCCACCACGTCCTCGGAGCAGGCTTCAGGGCAGTTCCATCGCGGGCAGGAGGTGCCCCACCCTCTTCTAAAACACTCGCCGCTGATCAATGCACGTACCGCAAAGAGAAAAAGGGCACTGGAAGAATAAGTATCCAAAGCTAGGGAAGATGGGGCCAGAGCCTGAGAACTCAAGAGTTATGCTAAAAACAGGAAATCATTCTGATGATGACTGATGGTGCCCAGGGGTTCTCTTATTAAAGTGACCTATTAAAGGCACCCCCAAGGAACCCCGGGTAAGACTAGTGGTGTGGGGGTGAAACTGCGGATTTTTTGATTGATACTAGAGCGACGTATTCCATGGTCAATAGACCTCTAGCTGAATCCTCACGGCAGGCTGTAACAGCAACTGGAATTTCTGGAAGCCCTGAAAGCCATTTTTTTTTCCTTGAAATCGTTGGAATGTGCCATGGGGGATACGCTTTTAACTCATAGTTTCTCACACATCGCTGAGTGTCCAATACCCCTTTTCTGGGAAGGGACCTGCTGTGAAAACACTGTGCCCAGATCACCTTTGCTCCCGAGGAACAGCAGCCTCACCTGCAGGTCCCTCTGGAGCAAGCATGGCAGCTCCTCACGACATGATGCAGGGGGTGGGAAGAAGCACATCCTTGGCCAGAAGAAACTGAGGACCAGGTAAACCCCATTGTGTGGGCTGCAAGAAGGCCAGGGAGAGCTAAGCGAGCCTTCTCTGTGAAAGTTGACCTCAAGTCAGGGGTGAGGACTCCCAATAAGAGACAGTACCCCTTGCAGAAGGAGGCCCTAGAAGGAATACACCCATTCAGAAGTTTCAGGTATATGGACTTAGCCTTGCCACTCTCCATACAATACCCCCATATGGTCCACCAGGAAACCTTACTCAGATGAGTATTGGTTTGTATAAGACTTTCAGGGCCATAAATGACATTGTACAGGACATTCGACCCACTGTTCTGAGCCCTCAGACTTTGGTGAAGAGTATACCTGTCCCTAGGTACTCAGTATCGCACTTAAAAGATGCTTTCTTTTGCATTCCGGTTGATCAGGACTCTCCACCATTGTTTGTTTTTGAATGGCAGGACCCGGAATCTCAGGTCCAGACTCAGTGCTGTTGGGCAGCCTAACCACAGGGTTCGAGAACCCCCCTCACAATTTTGGGGGAGACCCGGAGTCAGAACTTAAAGGACCTAAAGCTAGAAGGAGGAACTCTGTTGCAATATGTAGATGACCTCCTAATTACTAGGACATCATTTCAGCAATGTTTAGCTAACACCATAGCTGCCTCGAACCATCTGGCACGTGGCTGTAAAGTTTCAGCACAGAAGGCCCAGATTTTCCAACAGGCAGTTAGGTCCCTTGGGTTCCTGCTTGAACCTGGCAAAAGGAGTCTCGCCGGAAACAGAAAAGAGGCCACAGTCCGCATGAGAGTTCCCAACACCAGGAAACAGTGGAGAGGATTCCTGGGAATGGCAGGCTATTGCCGCATTTGGATTCCAGACTTTGGGCTCATTGCTAAACCATGGTATGAAGCTCTGATGGGACCAGGATGTGGCCCTTCAGAGCGGACGGAGGAGTGCACTCAGGCTTTTGAGCGCCTGAAGGCGCACCCGGCTTCTGCACCAGCCTTGGAACTTCCAAACCTACTAAAGCCCTTTCGATTATATGTGCACGAACGCCAGGGTGTTGCCCTAGGAGTCCTCACCCAAATGCTTGGTGACATTGCGCAACCCACTGCATACCTGTCAGAGAAACTAGATCACACTGTCCAGGGGCGGCCAGCCTGCTTGAGAGCTATGGCAGCCACCCTCGAGCTCTTACAGGAAGCTGAGCAGTTTTCCTTGGGACAGCCTAGGGCTGTGTGCCCCACCAAGTGTTGAGCCTGCTGAAGCAAAAGGGAAATATGTGGCTCCCTGCTGGGAGAACAAGCAGGTACCAAGCCCTTCTTCTCAACAATCCCAACGTCTCCCTCAAAACTGCAAGTCAGTTAAATCCTGCCTCTCTTCTCCCAGAGCTTGACTCGGCTGCACTGATACATGACGGTGCTGAAATAATCGATGAAGCTTATATTCTAGCAGAATTGACTTACAGGACCGCCCTCCAGAGGAGGCAGACTGGACTCTCTGTGCAGATGGAGGCTGCTACATGGACAAAGGAAACGGAGGAGCTGGATATGCAGTTGTGACTCTGGAGGCAGCAGGGGAGGCCCAGGCCTTGCCACCGGGAGCCTCTGCTCAGAAAGCTGAACTGACTGTGCGATCTCCAGTGGTTAGCGCGCGGCACTTATGCAGAAAGCTGGACTGAGGGCATCAGCGAGCGCACTGGAAGTGTCGCACGAAGAGAGAGTGAATGTGTACACCAATTCGAGGTAAGCTTTCCTAATTCCGCACGCACATGGTTCAGGCTGGAAGGAAAGAGGACTATTAACCTCCAGTAAAAAGGAGATGAAGCGTGCAGCAGGCATTTTAAAACTGTTAGGGGCTGTTTAGGTACCTGTACAGGTGGCAGTCATGCACGGCCCGGGCCACCAGAAGGAGGGCACCGAAGGGGCGGGTGGAGCAGCGAGAGAGGCTGCCGAAGGGACATTTCCGGCGCCTTTGTCCCTGTTCCAGACTGGTCACTATTTGACCCCGGATACTCGACTGCAGACTTAGAGAAAGCTACGGGTTGGGGTTTTGATGAAGAAGGTCCTGACAGTGGATGAAAAAAAAGAATAAGAAAGGAGTTATACTGCTTCCTGGAACATTTAGTAAAGCCAGTCAGGAAGCATTTGCATGAGGCCACACGCTATGGAAGAGACTCATGAACCACTAATGTCAAACCATGGCTCACAGGCCCTGGAAATTCTAAAGCCGTGTGAAATGTAATTGCTGGGGGTGTTGTGTGCCAGAAGAACAACCCCAAGACAGAGCCCCATCGAAAGAAAGAGGGGGAACAGTGCCAAGGACGGTGCCCACTTGAGGACTGGCAACCGGACCTGACTCAGACGCCAAAGGCCCGAGAGTGGAAATATTTGTTAGTCTCTGTTGACACCTTTTCGGGATGGAGAGAAGCCCATCCCACTAGAACAGGGAAATCCTGGGAGGTGGTGAAAGCTTTACTGAAGGAAGTAATCCCTCGCTTTGACCTTCCTGGCAGCATCCAGAATGCGAATGGACCTGTTTTTGTCTCAGAAATGACGCAGGAGGTTAGTATATTTTTAGGAATCAAGTGGAGACTCCACATGGTATGGAGACGTCAGCCTTCTGGGAAGGTAGAAAAGATGAATCACACCTTGAAGAAAAATATAGCCAAGCTGTGTCAAGAAACTCACCTCCATGGGGATCAAGCGTTGCCTACTGCCCTGCTCAGGATAAGGGTGGCTCCTCGAAGTGGGATTCAGTTGAGTCCCTACGAAACTGAACTGTAGAAACGGCCCCCCCTGACTCCGGGTGACCACAGCGATTGACCTTTGTGCTCCACAGGAGACTGTGAGCAACCGAGGTGGCATCTGAGCCACTGTGTTCCGGGAAGAGACAGAGGACCGACCGCCTGGGACCGAGGGAACGGCCCAGGCCCAGGGCAGGGATGCTGCAGTGTTCTTTGTTTTTTCAATCTGACTTTCCCTGAATTTCAAACCCCTCACCACACTTTATTATAAAAAGGCTGTCTTGAAAGGAAATGGAGGACGGTCTGTTAGGGTGCAAACCCACCGTCTTCTCAGATCACTGGCCATCTGAATAAAGCACCCAAGAAGATCCCTGTCCTTGCTTATTGGGTCTGGTAGGTGACAGGCAGCTCGAATGCTGGCTGTTCCCATTTCCAGAGCTCGGGCCTGGAGACCCACCATACAGGGTCACTAAATACAGGACGGTGGGCAGGTTCCCTCTCCCCCACAATGGAGATAAAAGTTCCAAAGTCAAGGTTATAAAGCCCCTGTCACAGAGCAGGTCCCCCTGCACACTGCCGGATTCTTGGAGACACCGAGATCTCGACACAGGCAGGAGTGGGAGCCTGCCCCAACATTTTACTCTCAGCTCCGGGCGAAGTTAACTCCCTTTAAAGAGCTTCTCTTTGCATTTTGGTGGGTTCCTTCGTAGGTGGCAGAGATCTATTTCCTTTTTTCTGATTCTGAAATAAAAATGAAGCTAGGATTCTAAGTACTAGATCTCTTCAAGATATAAAGCTGAGACGTCCTGATGCTCCTTCGTCCTTCGCAAGCAGGAGCAGACTCTCCAGGGCCCGCCCAGCAGCCCCCTCCCAATAACAGCGGCTACCCCTTGTTGAACACTGTGCGGACGCTGCACAGACACGACCTCCTGTAACACCCGACCAGGAGGCGGCCATCTATGATTGCCCCCATTCTATCCAGAAGAGAACGGAGGTAAGTGACATCTCTCAAGCCACACGGCTAAATATCAGACTCGAGATGAGTTCCCTTGTCTCTGACTCCAGACAGGAAGTTCTGACGGCAACGGAATATTCCGAACGTGGAATTTTAAGTAAACAGTTGCTAACTGCAGGCCCTTGGGCAGAGTCTCGGTCTAATTACTATTCCTCGTGAGCTGTGTCCTTGAGCTCTGTCCCTGAGAGTAAGATCAGCGAACTTGAAGGCGCGGGTCTTGTCGAGCCGGATTTCCTGCAGAGCCCTGGGCTGGTCCACGTGCCGCCCACGGGGGTCTTGGGTCCCCTTGGACCAGTGGGCATTCTCACCATTTTAGTTGACTTTTGCCAAATTTGTTCCTGAGTTTCCTGTCGCCAAGGACTATACAGAATAAAATGCCCCTAAGTATTTAACCTTTGTGCTAAGTGTCTCAACATTATTGGATACATCATCTGTCCATTGGATACTGGTATTTCCCTCCTAGATTTATATTTATTCCCCCACCTCACTGGGCCATTAAACTCATATTTCCTAGTCCCTTGCTCCTGCTGTTGTTAAGCTCAATGTAATCTCTATCTATTTTGGGTAGAAAATGGTCACTTCTTCACAACTGGGATACATGTGTTCCTGTTTTCCCATCATCTTTTCGGCAGTTTCAATGATGTGGCTTTTAGCCTATTTGAAATCAAGAAGAGTCCGGAGGGTAATGTGCGGGCCTCATTTTAATTTATTCCACAGGTTTCCAGTTTCCACCGCAGTGTTTATGAAATGGTCAAGTTCACATTTCCTCCAAGCCCGGGGTTAACCTTCTGTCCAGTCGAGGAGGGGTTTTGCCGTGATGAGGGTCCGCATTTGTGACAGAGGCGGACGGTATTAGCCAGTATATCTGTGCTCTGCTTCCTCCTCTTCCCAGGCACTTCGTTAAAACACGTCGCCCAGCCTGCCCCGGGTGTCACTCGTTAACTGAGGCGGTATGCAAAGTGCATGTCAAAGTCAAAGGGAATTCCCCTCCCCTTCCTTCCTTCTCTCCCTTCCCAGGACAGAGCAGCCGAAGCACTGCACTGCCCTCTGCTCCACATTCCCGAGCACTGGGAGCGTCAGGGTAGCCAGGTTATCCAAGCTGAGCCTCTCGCTCCACACAGGAGACCCCTCCGGCCAGAGGTCAGCCCCCACTATGTGGCTCGGGCCCACTTTGAAATCCCCCGAGTTTGGCAAACACTCATTGTCTGTATCGGCACCTGTCTGAGTCTGCACAGGACACACGGAAGTC